ACAAATCAGGAACTCCGTTAGCCATGGAGATATTCCGTACGGTCAAGGGCAAAGACGGAACCCATCATCTTATTAGTACTGTATATAGTTTTCTTCGGTAAGGGGTGGTGTTATCGCCACAGCCATTACTGTTAATATCACAGCTTTTTTTAATTATTTGACTATTATACCCCTCGTTTGAATCCAACTTGCAGCAGTCACCATCTTCTCCGCGTGGGTTAATGGTCAATTAATTAAAAAAGCTGTGACGTTAACCTGTGAAGCTGTGGCAATAACACCACCCTTCGGTAAGGGTTAATAACACTATTTTGGTATTAATTATTATTAAAAAAATAAACATAAACCCCACAGACACATTACTACCAAAGAAAGAGCAACAAATATATTCTCCACAGACACATTAATTGTCGGTAGTAATTAAGATGCTCTTTCTTTAGTATTAATTATGCGAGTCCGCTCATAATTTTTTATTTTTAATTAAAAAAAATTATTACTAAATTATTGTTAAAAAAAATTTTTAAATGCAGGTTTAGTCATTTTTCTACCATTAGTAAAATCCCCCCAAACCGATAACGTAGTACATAGCACAGGAAGAAAACTGAACCTAATTAAAGATAAACGTGTCCGTCCTCTAACCACTTCCATACCATAAATATTGATTATAAAGCCAACTCATTTCCTAGATTTCCAGTAAAACCAGGAGTATCGTGCGATTGATTTATGGAAAAGAATGAGGCGTTTCCTACCAGCAATGAAAGGGGCTAAGGGCGTATCATGTGTTGGATTGCGATATTCCGGTGTAATATCCCAAATAATCTTTCTTCCTTTCTTTCTCGTAATCTCCTTCTCCCTGTTTATAAACTCCTGTGCCTGCCTGAATCCTCTCCTACTGCCTCGCCCCTTTCTCCTCTTCATTAATTCTCGATTCCTTGAAAAGAGAATCTTATACACCGATCAGTCATGACTACAGAAGAGAAACCTCCTCGACGCCTGTTTTTATTTTTATTTTTATTTTTCACTAGTATTAAATCCAGAAATTAATTAACTCTGGGTGCCTGAAAATGCTATTGTCTGAAATTAACCCCGATTGGTAACTAAAGAAAGCCGCACCTTAAGGTACCCATCGGAGTTAATTTCAGACAGCAGCATTTTCAGGTTTCTATACGAGTTAATTGATTTTTAGATTTAATACTAGTAGTTTTCTTCTTGGTTAGTTTCTTGACTTTTTTAATTTTTAATTTGTATTTTAGTACATGATCAAATTAATGAAAGAGAGAGCCCATGAACACTCGCCGGCCCATGAAATTGAGAGTGGCAACCATGGAGATGGAGATGAAACGCCTGAAGAAGTCTCACAAGAAAGAAAGAGCGGAACTGAGAGATTGATGTAGTCATCCATGTGAGGCTGAACTTTTATTGTAAGAAATGGCCCACAATCGAACGAAAGTCGAACGCATGGCCCCAAAATGGAACGAAAGTCGCACGCCGATCTGCCAATGATGTCGACAGGAAAGGCATATCGAATCGATCGATAGCAAGAAGAGAAATAAAAAATGCAGACAGAGTCGAACGATTCCGGAGGATAATGCATTTTTTATTGCTCCACATCCAAACCCGAAGCTTTTGTCGTCAGCGTACTGTTTAATCTACTCAATCAATTATCAACAGACAAAATTTTCTATTCAACTTTATCTTTCATATATAATTTGGTTCTGGTTGAGTTTCTCAACCAAGGATCTTTAGCGGTCATATATTGAGAGAACTAGCTAGAGCTCTTACTACAGACGTTTCAAATGAGGAATCAGGCATGTCAACAACAACCAACTTTTTATGCAATTTGCTTCATCTTCTGTTATACAGGGGTTAGTTATTTATTGAACATATGTTATGTGTGTAGGAACGAAGAGCAAGTAAGAGGTTGGAGGCGAAGATGGAGGAGCTGCAGTCAGAAATGGAAGCCATAAACGAGGAACAATCAAGATTAAGACAAGGACAAAGGGAAATGAAACAACACTTTGAAAAGATCAAAGCGGAGTGTGCACAGCTGAGACAGGAGACCAGCCTCCTCCTCCAGCAAAATCTAGGCTCCCAGCTTCGCCTTATTGCCAGCAAACGTTGTTCTACCTAACAAACATCTTGCAAATTAATTAGAGCTCATGAGTTTTGCCTTTGCCATGTGTTGCTGTGTTGAGTCAATTATCCATATATGTGTCACCCTTAATTGTGTATTTCCTATACTAATTGTTTTGAGATCTGCCTTAATAAATGAAAAAATCATGCGTTTCTATACTTGAATTACGAAGGAAAAATGATCATCTTATAGTCTGTTTAGCAAAAAAGAGAGGGGAGAAAAAATTATTACAACCGAAGAAATTATTTTGTTGACATAATAATTTAATTTAATAGGTTGTAATAACACTTCTCTTTCCTTTCTTCCCGTCTTCTGTAATGAATAATTTCTTCTTATATAGAAGTAAATTAAAATAAGGGAAAGATTAATGCAGTCATCCTTTTGAGGTTGAAAATTCATCGGAAGAAATGGCCCACAATCGAACGAGAGTCGAACGCCGATCTGCCGATGACGTTGACAGGAAAGACAGATGGAATCGATAGATATGCAAAAAGAGAAACGAAAAATGCAGAGAGAGGCGAACGATCCTGCATGATGACGCGCGATCCCGCGCGACGACGCGTTTTTGATCGCTCGAGAATGAAACCTGAGACTTTTGTCATTAGCAGAGTTTGAACCTACCCA